CTTATTTCCATGTGCCTCTTCCACGCTCCACCCCTTACACCACAAACACCTAACTGCTTTTGACTACTCATCAGGTTTTCACAGCAGCTTGATTACAACAAAATTGCACGTTTGTTTAAATTACAATATTAGCTAGCAGTGCATTTATAGCACACTCTTTCAAAGCTGGGAACTTTTTAATGTTGAAAGGAGGGTGTTGGAGTCCTTACTCCTGAATCCTCCGCACTCTCCTGGACCCTGCTCGCTGTGCCAATTGTTGGAATAAGTTCTTCCTTGATCCTGCTCACAGCGCCAATTGTGGGAGTACTTACTCCTTGATTCTGCTCAGCTATGCCAACTGTGGGGCCTCAGTTCCCCTGCCAGGAACTAGACCTTTATGGATGCTGGGTAGTGGATGGAGAAGATGGGAGAAGTCATAGGCTCATAGGCGTGTAAGAGAGTCTTTATTATCGTCTAAGTAGCCATTGCTACTAAGTAGCCATCAGACAAAGCCTTTCTTCAAAGGAGCCTCACACAGTAGCCACTGCTAACATAGCAGCCATTGCAAACACAGTAGTAAACGCAGGAGCCATACCAAGCATTCACGCGATGGCTGGTCAGTAACACATCTTTACAGTAACTTAGAGAAAAGAGGCTTCTTTCCAAATAGCGACACCAGTCTTTGGGGTTATAGAAGGGCAGGCCTGCGTAGTACAGTAAGATAGCTGTGTCCTTGCTTTTGCACCTGCATATAGCAGATTCGCCTTGAACACCCTGATAGGATTCCCACGCTCAGATTGGCCTTGAACATCTGGCGCACTCTAGACAGGGTTCCCACAGAAGGAAAGTAACAATAATTTGTGATGCACCTTTTCTGCTTCGAATAAACTCATCATTGCACCATTGTCCGGAAGCATCCTAAATATTCATCAGTAGCACACTTATTAACGTATGGAACATCTGAGCAATGGAATAGTATAAAGCCATTAAAAGTGTGGCTGTTCATTTTTTTAATGGCTATTCTTTTTAATACTGATGTTCTGTGTCAGTACTGCATGAGTTCTAAGGTGTAGGTACAGATGTATTTTTTAAAAACAAGGTTTAGAAGAGTGCTACCGTTTTGGCACAAATGTTTTTACATTTTAAAATGCCAAAACTTGTTGGCACAATCTCCATCATAATACAGCCTTCCCTTGGTATTGGTGGGGGATTGGTTCCAGGAACCTCCACCGATACCAAACCCCACAAGAGCTCAAGTCCCTTATATAAAATGGTGGAGTGTTTGCATAGAACCTACACACATCCTCCCACATACCTTAAAGCATCTCTAGATTACTTAAAATACCTAATACAATGCAAGTGCTATGTAAATAGTCATTAGGCTGTATTGTTGAGGGAATAATGACAAGAAAAATCTGTTCATGTTCCATGGACCTGTGTAGTACATGTCTGCAACAGCAGAACCTGTTTTTTCGAATATGTTCAATCCACACTTGGTTGAATCTGCAAATGCAGAAACCACCGATAGGGAGGGCCAACTGCAGTTAAGATCATAAACCCCACGCAGAAGATCGCTGGTAATCCTGACACCACAAAACACCTGAGCCGCCTCTCAGAGCCACGTGTTCTCCGCTGGAGGCAGAACAAGGCAGCGGCAGTTCTCAAAGGCCCACTCTCAGGGGCTGTGGAAAGCCGGGTGGTGATTCCAGTGTCAGGGCTCCAGGGTGCCTCAGATTGTCAGCACCTTTCTCCTCTGGAGGCTGGAGCCCAGGGAGATGCCTGGGTAGCTCAGGTGCAGTCTTCAGTTAGGGAACGAATTCTGTTCTTCCCTCCGCTAAGCAGCTCTTTCATGGAGCCAAATGGCAAGCCTTTGAATGTGAGAAAAATGCACACCTGGCTATTTTTTACTTATTTATCATTTAGGCCCCATATAATTCGAAAAAACTAAATGTGAGGGAGTGTTGCTAAATTTATGGATAATATAAAACCTGAAAAGTACCGTAAAAGCAGATTGGGATCCAGTAAAGCGGCTATACACTGGTTGTTAGCGATTCCTAGTTCCTGGGTAAGTTAATGACTGCAGTTGAGCACTGATTTTAGCTTTGCATTTCTTGGCACATGAGGTAAAAAGGGGAATATAAAGTATATGGTTCTTTTAATATGAATCCAGAAAATAGGAAGTTTTGCCTACGGGAAAGGACATTTCCTGATACTCAACTCAAGAAGGAAATTCAAATACAGATCCTTATTAAAAACTAGTGACCTGGTGTACAAAATTTGTACACATTAAAAGGGAATTAATTAGAGGAAATATTTTAATATTGCTATTTGCCCTTTCTCTATAATAGAAGTATCAGAGATGAAAGAAAATTAGTAAAATTTATATGAAAATCTTCCTCCTGTCAGTGCCATGGGAACCAGAGTCAAGAACCCACCCACCTACGTGCACTTCAAAATTGCATGAGACCCAGACCCGGCTGGCCCCACCCACATTGGGCTAGACCCAGACCCGGCTGACCCCCCCCCCATCAAGCCCCGCCAGGTGGGGGGCGCAGCCTCAGGTCCCTGCTGATTGCTCATTAAGGCTCATTCTGGGAACTCAGCCTCCACTGTGGGCGCAGCCATCTTGTGTTACGGAATCCCTGCCTCCGTTATGGGCACATCCATCTTGACCGTTATAGTGTGATGGTCAATTTACATATTCCCTCTTCATTAGATAAGATATGGAGAAATTGACTCGGGTCTTCATGGTGGTTAGTGCCTGTCGAGGTATTGAAACTAGCCAGTCACAAGTGCCAAACCTCTCAAAACATGTATCGTCTCATCTGTATGTCAGGTCTCATTGTCTGTGTCTCACCAGTCACCACAGTCGTCCAGCTCTCCTCTCATTCGACTGCTTAAGGCCTCCTGACACACCTCTCCATTCACACTCACCCCCCCCCCCCCCAGCACCTTCTCCGGGCTGTGATCAGGGCTGACTTTAGAGGATGCAGGTCTGATTATACCCCATCACTGTCTCCATCCCATGTGCTTACAACTCCCACGTCCCTCTGGTTAGGATAAGACCCAAACCTTCCCACCTCCCCAGCCTCTTCTGCCACCCTTTCTCCCTTGCTGTCTGTTCCAGCCTTTTTTCAGTCCTTGTTTCCGGCCATGTGCCCTTGGAACATGGCCTCTCTCTCACCGCATGCTCTGCCTGCCTCAGCCAGCAGTTCTTCCTTTGGGTCTGAGCTGCATCATCCTCCGAGCCTCCCTGACTCCGAGGGCCCCGCTGCACTGTTGTTTGTTCTCCTGTCCCTCTGTGCCTCTCTCAAGAGTGCTTATCTCTGTTGTGATGTCCTCCCAACTAAACAGGAGTTGGCTCAGCTGTTGTTTTGTTGCTGTTAATCCTCATCCAAGGATATTTGTCCATTGATTTTTAGAGAGAGTGAAAGGGAGGGGGAGAGACAAAGAGAGAGAAACATCCATGTGAGAGAGACACATCAGTTGGCTGCCTCCCACACGAGCCCCAACCAGAGCTGGGGATAGAGCCTGCAGCCGAGGTGCGGAAGCAAACCTGGGACCCTTCAGTCTGCGGACCAATGCTCTATCCACTGAACCAAACCGGTTAGGGCAGCTGTGCTCACTCTTTGACCCCAGCTTCACATCCCCTACCTGATGAGCAGTAGGGGGTCAGGAGATATTCAAGAGAAAGGAACCATCTATCAGTACCATCCATACACCTAGATGCGAGCCTCCCAGCCTCATCCTGAAGCACGGTTCTGATCACGTCGTTTCCTTGTGCCAAAACTTTCAAGAAGTCCCCATTTCCTGCAGGGTAAAATCCACACCCTTTATTTAGCCCTCCACAAGCTGGGCCATTGTATTTCTAAACTCCCACTTTTGACATGATACTGATTTTCTATCTAAATTATAACTATTTCATGTATATATCACCCACATAAGGTTGTAGTCAAGTCCTATATAGTGTCTAGCATGAGCCTTACATAGTAGGTACTCATAAAAATGTGTTAAATGTATGGAGGCTTATGTTAAATAATAGCATCTTTGTAAGTGAGGGTTTAATGGCAACCAATTTCCCTCTAGATGCTTAATTTATAGTAAAGTTTCTGTTTTGTTTGTTTTTAAATATATATATATGTATATAATTTATTTCAGAGAGGAATGGAGAAGGAGAGAGAGATAGAAATATCAATGATGAGAGAGAATCATTGATTGGTTGCCTCTTGCACGCCCCCCACTGGGGATTGAGCCTGCAACCCAGGCATGTGCCCTTGACCGGAATCAAACCCGGGACCCTTCAGTTCGCAGGCCAACGCTCTAGCCATTGAACCAAACCGCCTAGGACCTGTTTTTAAATATGTAACAAATGGCCAGTCAGCTGTCAACTCTCCTGTTCTTTTAAATATCTCTAAAGATGAGTGAATCTGAATTCAGTTCATATACGCTTGACCCTGGAACAACATGGGTTTGAACTGCACGGGTCCACTTATACACAGATTTGTTTTAACAAATGTTGTAATGTATTTTCTCTTCCTTATGATTCTTTATTTTTTCTCTAACTTACTTTATTGTAAGAATACAGTATATAATAAATATACAAAGTAAATGTTAATCAGTCGTTTATGTTGTCAGTAAGGCTTTAGGTCAATAGTAGGTATTTGTAAAGTTTGGGGGGAGTCAAAAGTTGTATGTGGATTTTCAACTGTGCAGGAGGCAGAGCCTCTAATTCCCAGGTTGTTCAAGAGTCAACTATACATTTGTAAAGACCTCATGGATCTTCTCTTACAAGGATACAGCATTACTTTGATACAGAATGCCAGAAAGTAAAGTAAAACAGATTCATGTAGCTTGTCATTTCCAGGGAAGACCGCCCAAATTAGTACTCTCTTCCACAAAGTGACCATGGGCCAGCGCACTTGTTTCCAGATGAGCATCACCTCCGCGCCTCCACTTAGGAGGTCAGACCCTGACTGCTATGGCTGGTTGCCATGACTCCTGCAATGAGAGCATAACCCTCACCTCCATTTCCTTCCAACAGGCCGATTTAAACTGCAATATTCAAGATGATGCCGGGGCTTTTTACTGTGTAACCAGTCAGTATGAGAGTTCTGAAAACATGACAGTCACCTGTTCCACCAAAGTTTGCTCCTTTGGGAAGCAAGTAGTAGAAAAAGTAGAGGTAAGTTGGCCTCTGTATCCTGGAACCTTCTTTCAGGGCCAGACTATTGCTGTCCTTTAAATCTTTCTGGGGTAGAGTTTTACCTTTTTTTTTTGGTGTCTCTTCCTTCTGACCCACCCCCCACCCCCATTACTTCTAAAAAGGCACAATGGTTTGAAAGCAACTGAAAGAAGGCCAGGAGGAAGTCCCACGCCAGCCCTCTTGACTGTTGAAGTTGGCCCTGCCTTCCCAGCCAGCAGTGTTTAGTCCCGCAGGAGGCCTCATTGGGGGTGGCCTTGTGTGGAAGCTGCCACCCATCAGACGAAGCCTTCCCACCCACCCCATGTCCAAGGGCACTCCCAGCCACAATGGCATGCGACTGATGGACACTGGCCTTCTAAACCCCGATACCCTCCGTTTGGTGGTGTTGCTTTTGCCATTTCTACCCCTTCCATTATATTGGTTTTAACCCATTGTGTGCCATACACGTCTGTAGATGCAAGCGGTGGACCTTCCCCACATGCTATGCATGTCCATAAAAAAGAAATGTTTTCCCTAAGTGGCAGCTTTAAAATCACTTTTCGTGAGAATTTTTGGCTGAAAATATTCAAGAACACCCAAATTATAAGATATTTATTTTTATAATAATCATTTCAAATTGATTTTTTAAATTAAATTGAAAATACTATGGCGTGTAGGGATGGTTTCTGTTTTGGACGTGTGGCAGTTAACTGGTTAAGTCTATTCTAGTACAAACTGAGACTAAATACCTATTTTTGGCTTTGTAATTTTAAGCTTCCATTTCTTTGAAAAAAATATATATGTTTGGTTGCTTAGTATGAATGATATTTGTAGTTGACATTCCATTTAAGGTTTTTTCAGCGTTTCTGCTCATCGCCCAGTGGATCCCTGTTCAGTGAGAAGCTTTTGTTTACAGCAGCCCTGGACCGACCTCGAAGGTCCAGGAGCCCACCTGACTGTGACAGAGACTTTATGCTGAGGCGAGAAAAAGAGGGAGGGAGGGAGGGAGGGAGGGAGAGAGAGAGAGAGAGAGAGAGAGAGAGAGAGAGAGATTGGGGAGTGAGAAGGAGGAAGGGTGGTTCATTTAAGCTTAGGGGTCATGAGCTTTACTAAACTGGTGGTAGTGGGAACCCAGTAAGATATTTTGAGTGGAACTTAGAAACTGACTGCATATTTAAGATTAAAGAGGAGGAAAAGTCAAAGGTCATACACTTTATCCTCGGAAGGACGGTGTTTTCGAGAGGAAATAGGGCACGATTACCAACCGATGCAAGGCTGAAATTTGGGAGACAGGTAAAGACTGAGACTATTAATTGGGAAGCCTAAGCATGAAGGATAAAGATGGGAATGGGGACTTAGCTGCAGAGAGAGAATAGCCAGAGCATAGAAATAAGGAGTCAGTTTGGGAGCAGCAGCCAGCCCTGCAGGGGTGGGAAGGGAGGCACACACAAAGGAGCAGAGGGCAAAAATAGAGGAGCGAGGAGGAAGCCGAGTCAGGGCAGTGTCTGGGAAGCTTGGGGAAGGGTGGGTGGGAAGGTGGCTCTGTAATGAGCCAAATCCGGATGGCCTAGAACCTGCTCACCTCCATCTCCTCTGAGGAGGAAGCAACGTTACCTGCCCGTGGTTGGGAACCTGGAAGGTCAGTGCTGGGCACTGCTACCCAATAGCCAGTTGTCAGGGCTTATCTGTAAGTGGACATCTTGCCTCGACAGGTGCATGTGAGAAAAAGTGAACCAGACAAGTTAGTTTCCCAGATTTCAAATTATTCCTCATGTGTCCTCAGATAACACACCCAAAGCTCTTCTTACTTAGTTCAGGGGCCAGGGAAAGGTTGCTTTTGACTGACGAAGTCTCAGGAATTTCCATGGAGAAGGTAGTATGAGTGTGGCAGGTGGAGTTTTATAATTAAACCTTTAACCCATTTAGAATGTATTTCCGTATTATATGTGTAAGGGGAGTCTGCTTATATTTTCTCCCAAATAGATAGGTATCTGTTGAAAACCACTTATTAAATGATTCATCCTTTTCCAACTGAATGGATCTGTGCCCTTAATGTTACCACATAAACTGGGCGCTGTCTCTGGCATCTCAATTCTCTCCACCCAGTATCTCCACATGTCCCAATGCCAGGCTTACTTCATTACAATGGCCTTGTGGTAGGTTCTGATATCTGCTGAGGAAGTTGGTTTCACCCATCTTCTTTTTATATATTTTCTAGGTTAGTAACCAGCATTCATTCTTCCAAGTAATGAGATTGTTTTAAAAATGTAAAGAGAAACAAAATCCTATTTGAGCAATCTAATTGTAATTGCATTTGATTTTGATATTATTTTGGGATAAATTGATATGTAATTGATATTCAATCTTTCCAATCAAGAGCCTATTTGTATTTCCATCTAATTTTATCTATTTTAATAAGAGTTTATAGTTTAGATATGTATAGATTTATTCCTTTCTGGATAGTATATATTTCTAAGTATTACAAAATTGGTTGAATACAATTTTCCATTTCTAGATTTTGATTACTAGAAGAGAGAAAAGTTCTTGGTTTTTATATATCTATTTTCTTTCAAAACATTTTGCCCCTCATTTATCTCTGGTCATTTTCCCCTAGATTCATGGGTTTTCTCTGTATATAATCTTATTGGCAGTTTTATTTTATCGCTTCTTTTCCAATTTTTATGCCAGTTTTTTAAATTATTATTTTCTCACCTTTTAGTTTGCTAAAACCTCCTACACAGTTGTAAAAAGAAATAGTGATCTATAAGTAATAGTGTCCTTGTATAGTTCCTGATGTTAGTAGACATGTTTTGGGTGTTTTTCCATGTAGGATATTTATTCTTGGTTTTTATAAATGGTCTTTATTTTACATTTAAGTGCTTTCTTTCTATAATTATTTTACTTAGGGTTTTTTTTATTAGTAGTAGCTGCAATATTTTATCGAATGCCTTTTCAGCAACTCTAACTATATGATTTTTCTCCCATTTGTTGACATCACAAGTTAACACGCATCCTGTGTGTGCACCACCACAGCATTCCTGAAGAAAGTCCTACTTTGGTTACATTGATTCACTCTATTTGCTGTTTTACATAGCATTTTTGCATCTTAGCCTGTGCTTTCTTTTTTTTATCTCTTTATCAAATTTCGGTATTGAATGTATATTAGTTTCATAAAATAAGTGGGACACCTCCCTTTTTCAATAACATTGAAAATAACTATTCTTTAAAGGTTACATGGAACTTGGCTGTGAAACCATCTGGTCTTTGTACCCTTTTCAGCGGTATATCTCTAAACAACTTCTTAGTCATTTCCACAGTCACCGACCAGTTGAAGTTTTCTACTTAAAAGGAATCGGTATTAGCAATTTGTATTTTGCTAGGAAGGCACCCTACCCTCTAGGTTTTCTCTGCTATTTTTGCTCTTGGAATTATGTGAAGTAACCTTATAAATCTTCTAATCTCACTGTAATTGTGGTTTTGTCTCTTTTATTTTTTCTCCTTAAGCTTGTGAAGAGTTTATTTTATTTAGTCTTTTTTTTTTAAAGAACCAGTTTTTATATTTATTCTGTCTGCATTTTTAATTTTGATTATATTGATTTGCACTTTTATCTTTATTAATTTCCTACTCCTGGTTTCTTTTGCTTTTGCTGTGGTTTTGGTTTGCTGTGTGAGGTTGTAATTTTTTAAAGATGTGCATTTAGTTCTGAACTTGTTCATCTTTCATGATGAAGATGTGAAGCTGCTTCATTAAGTTTCCTCCACTGGAGCTTCATCGCATCCCGTAGTTTTGATGTATTTTCCTTTTCATTACTCTTTGGATAGTTTGTAATTTTCTTTTTAATTCCTTTTTGATCCAAGGTTATCCAGGAGTGTGTTTCTTATTTCTGAGTGCTTCAGTGGGATCTTTCAACTGCATACACACAATTATTTCTTTTCTTTTCTTTTAAATTAAAGGCATAAATAACTAACAGTCAGGGGCTCATGGTGAGTGTGAAGCAGTTTTTCCTCAAGTAGTGAAATTAGCTGAATTGGCTGTTGGCCTGTGAGGCCTTATCACAGTAAAGAAGGACTGTCTTTGGGCTCTTTGAAGACTTGGGAAAGGCTGGTGCTGCTCTTACAGATCTCTGGGTAGAGAATCACAAAGTAGGTGGATATATTGCCTTCTGACCTTTGCTCAGAAGGACTTACACAACTCTTCTTTACAGCTATCATCTCTCCTTTCTTTTTTTTAATGAAACTGACATCATTACCAACTGCGCTAACAAAGCACCTTCCAATTTTTTATTTCCAGAAAAATAATGAATTCTGAGTCCGGCATTATGTTTGGATACTGGATTTTTAAAAATTAAGTAAACGGCATAAATAGTACTGTGTATAGCAGACATTTCATGTTGAAAAAATACAATGCTTTTATAAGCAGTAATACCTTTTTCATGTATGTTGAGGTCAAAAGTGTAAAAATGCTCAAATCCTTTTTCCCTCACAGACGGAGTATGCAAGGTTTGAGAATGGCCGATTTGTATACCGAATAAACCGCTCCCCGATGTGTGAATATATGATCAACTTCATCCACAAGCTCAAACACTTACCAGAGAAATATATGATGAATAGTGTTTTGGAAAACTTCACAATTTTATTGGTAACTGTTTTGTCTCTTCCCTGTTTTGGCAGACTCAGCCCTGAGGCTGGTGGGGAAAGGCTGGGACGGGGTTGGGGGGAGAGTCCTGGGAGGCACCGGGGCCTGGGCCAAGGCAACTGACCAGGTTGTTGGGTTGGGCCCCGGGTAGTCAATCAGCAGTTGAACCCACATATTCATAGGGTAAACCTGGCCTTGGTTTGGGCTCAAGTCTGTAGAAGAGAAGGGCTCTCATCTGGCGGGGGTTTGTAATCTTGACAGAATTGGAATTCAGGAAGGTCATAAAAAGTGAGGGACCTAGGTTCTCAATTCTGGCTACACATTAGAAAGACCTGGAGAAAGACCTTGGTATCTAATATCCTGATACAAAGACTGTAAACTGTGTCCATTGAATCAGGATCTCTGCGGATAGGACCCAGGCATATGTATTTTTTTAAAGTTCCCCAGGTAATTCCAGCATTAGCCATGTTTGAGTCTTGGCAGCAACAGGAGGCAAAAGCTGAGTTAGGAGGTTTGTAATTCGAACAAACCTTGATTCGTTTCCTGGAGGATTTGCAAGGCCTTATAAGAAGTAGCGTACATTAAGACAGCAAAATATGAGCTCTCAGTATTAGAAGGAATGTAAGTTTGACTAGAATGCCATAACCAGGAAGGGTTGGAAATATTCTCCAGAGGCTAAAATGTATGATCAAAACGTAATGGGCAGCTAAAGAAAAAGAAAAAAAAATGGTGCTCAGTGTCCACAATGGGAAAACTTTCTGGTTCTGCTGGGCAGTGCTGTGTGGGAGTTTTTCCCCTTAATATTTAACTTTAAAACAAATTTCTCATGGAGGTTTCATTGGGGGACTTGGGAACGTTATTACAAATAGTGTTGTCCTCAAAATATACCTCTAAAATATATACAGTAATGGGTTTCATATGGCTCATTTTAAAAAATATAACATTCCTTAAACTGAAGGAAAAATGCCCAAACAAAACTTGGTGGGAAGAATTTTACTGAAAGGGGCAGCAAGACAATGTTGTGGTCAAATGGCCTGCTTTGTGACTAGGATCAAGGACTAGAACACCAAGAGCAGGAATTCTTTACCTGGGGTTTTTGGATTCACTCAGCCCGTTGTTCTCAGGCACTGGTGGGCTGGGAAATAAAAAGCTCTACCTCAACACCCCCCGAAAACCCTGATTGCAAATATGCCCTCCACGGGCAATTTCAAGCTACCAGTGGTTGTCCAGCTCATGAAAGTCCTTAATATTTCACAATGACTTTCAGCAGCCAGTAGGAGCCAGTTCCCTCACACCAATGTAAAAAAATAAATAAAAAATTTCAAATGCTGAGGGGTAAGCCCCGCGTCAAGGAATAACATCAGAATCCCCAGGTAGTTGTGCACAGAGGGTTGAAATCCCTGCTCTAAGGGACTGGCCAATGAGCCAATTTTCATTTATTCTGCAGAGAGAACCTCAGTGGACTCTTAAGTGCGTCCAGGTCCCTCTGAAATTTAGAAACTATCAATCTGGGGGGAAATTTGGAAAACATGCTCCTTAGTAACTAGTCTTCATTGGTATCCTTTGGTGAACATTGAGCAGTTCAAGGTTTCAAGTGCTGGCAGGTCCTTGTCATATAGGTACTCCCTTGTATTTAAGAACAGATCACCTTAGTGCTCAGCTGAGCAGAAGGTGAGTGTGGCATCCTGCTGTGGACATGCAATAGCCTCAGGAATTAACCACAACTCTGGGTAGATGGTCACTTTGCCTCTCTTGGAAGGAGTTTTAGCTATTTTTTGAAAACCACGAAATGCTGTGTGATTCAGCATTTTAAAGAACATGTGCTCAGTCCCTAAAACCCTACCTCACGGAGCATAGCCGAGAACAATGTGCCTGGAAAAATTAAAAGCATCTATTACCCATAAAACCTGTGTAACTGTATTAGTCATGCTCCCTTAGCGCATGTGGCTTCATGCAGCATAGACGGCTGGAGAACGCACCATGTTCAATTAATTTCAAAAGGTATCCTCAAGCAACTGCGTAAATTCCTCCGATATGCAGAATGAGTAGCTATCAATAAATATCTGCTCGAATACTATTGTAGCTTTAGAAAAGCTGAAAGTAAGCCAGCACTCCTGGGTTATGAGAACAGTCATCTCATTGATTACAGGAGCAAGAGTACCTTTCCGCTTTTTCTCAGGGTCAGGGTAGGGTCACAGTCGGGGTAGGGTCACAGCTGCTGGACGCCGTTGTCGGGGTTTTACTAGGTACCTTGGACACGAAACCTGTGTCAACAGAACCATTAGACCCGACGGCCTGGTGGGCTAGACTGTCTGATTTCATCAGGATTATTTGGGAATTGAGGTGAACCTGTAGATGCGGGCCTTAGGGACAGCAGACAGACGGAGGAAGACGGCAGGTGAACCATAGGCCAAGTCTTCCTGTCTTCTTTTGAGTTCGTATTCAGAAATACAGGTGGCTAGAAACTTTTTTTTCTTTCCTCCTTTTGAATCTTAATCATGAAGCCTAAATAGGATATATTCTTCCATAGAAAATTTGCAAGAAGGGAGGCTACATCACAGGTGTTCCAGGCACGTGTTAAACCTTTTGTAAATGTTACAAAATGAAATTCTCAGTGCAGAATTCTGAGGTCATTTTTATTACCATTTTATGAATAAGGAATGTTAGGTCCACCTTAACACGTTAGGTCACAGAGCCAGTGATAGACATACACTAACACAGGAATTGATGGAAAGAACACTTTGCAGAATATTTCACAATCATGGAATCAGAAGACTTGGGTTTAAGAGCCAGCTCTATTTTATGACCTGGAGCAGTGATAGCGAACCTATGACACGTGTGTCAGAGGTGACACGCGAAGTCATTTTTTTGGTTGATTTTTCTTTGTTAAAGGGCATTTAAATATATAAAATAAATATTAAAAATATAAGTCTTTGTTTTACTATGGTTGCAAATATCAAAAAATTTCTATATGTGACACGGCACCAGAGTTAAGTTAGGGTTTTTCAAAATGCTGACACGCCGAGTTCAAAAGGTTCGCCATCACTGACCTGGGGTAAAGTCTCTCCACCTCAATTTCCTCCTCCTTTGACAACCAACATGCTGAAATCTGCACTCTCCACCTCAAGGGTTATTGAGGATGTTTTCATTCATTCAGCTGAACTCCGGAGAGATTGTACTAGCTGCCGGAATACAGTGCAGATAAGAGTTCACACTGTTCCACAGTAAATCGTGGCCTGGTGGAGAAAAGAGGCAGGTACATAATTGATTGCAATACAAGGTCATCATGGCTGTAGTTACACTTGAGAAACAGGCACTTCGGAAGTACAAGATAGTTTACCTGAGCAGGTACCTGTAGTTGGGGTGAGGTGGGGAATCCTCGGGAATGTTAAAAGATAGTGTTTAAGTTGCCTTGATGGATAAACAGACATTTTTCAGATTTACCAAGAAAAAAATGGCCATTTCATGGGTGCGTAGTTAAGTGTCAGGTTCTAGGATTTGGTGAACTGGACAGGGGAGGCAGCCATCCTGGAGTCAGGTGAAGGAGGCAGGCATTCCCCAAGTAATCACCAAATGAATGTAAACTAAACAGTGGCTGGTGGCTGCCCAGCTAGGTGCATGGTGCCAAGGAGGCACGTATAGTTCTGGAGGTCACAGACGGCTTCCCTAAGGAAGAAGCAGTTGAAAGATAGCTGCTGGATGAACAGGCAGAGGGTCGGGAAGGATACTGCAGAGAGGCAGGCAGGCGGAGCAGGTCGAACTGAAAATAGGGTCGTGTGGCTGAGAGGGAGGGGAGCACGGAGCAGTGAGCTGGCTGGGGAGGAAAGGCCAGACTGGGCAGGGGCTCCTCCACCTAGGAGGATGAGAACAGGTTTTCTCTTTATCCTAAAGTTCAAAGTTTAAAAGAGGCCATCAAGGTTTTTTTGTTTTGTTGAGAGAGAGAGAGAGAGAGAGAGAGAAAGAGAGAGAGAGAGCCATTGTTTGTTGTTCCACCTATATATGCATTCATTGGTTAATTCTGAATGTGCCCAGAGTGCTCGATCCCGAAACCTAGGTGTATCGGGACAGTGCTCTAACCAACTGAGCCACCTGGCCAGGGTCAAATCAGGGTTAAGCAAGAGTGTGTTGTTGTCAGATTTCTGTTTCTTACGAGGGTTTTGTAGCTGCTGTGTGCCGATGGGTCTCGGCCAGGCAAGGGTGGCTCCTGGGGGAGGAGTCCAGGTGAGTTTGCTGGTACCTTGGTGGTGGAGAAGGGGATGGATTCAAGAACTATTCAGGAGTAAATGCAGCAGGACATGGCATTTGTTGGGTATGGTGACAAGGGAGAGAGAGGTTTCAAGGATGAAAGAACTACCTGCTTGCAGTATTTGATCTGTGAGGGAAGCAGCAGGAATCAAGACTAGAAAAGCATGTGGGTACCAGTATTGAAAAACATATTTATTGCCCACAAAAAAAACAAATGTAGATAATCCGTTACTGTGTCAGTTGTCTAGAGCAGCATGATATGACGGCTAAGAAAAAGGTCTTCAGCATTAGAAGATCTGGATTCCTTAGTTGGCAATTGTGTGTCCTTAAATAGATTCCTTGTCTGTCAGAGGAGGAGGGATATAGCACCTGCTCATAGAATTCTGTTATATCACACGAGACAATACGTGTAAAGCATTTAATACGGAGTACATGTGTACTAAGTAGTTGATATATGTTGGCTATTATTATGTGACTTTTCATTCATCCAGCAAATATTTATTAAATGACTATTGTGTGCCAAGTTAGTTACTGGGGAATGTGGTCCCTGTTCTTCAAGAACTTGCAGCCCACTGGATGTGATGGGCATTTTTTAAAAATCATACAAATCTTTATGTACTTACAGATGGTATAGACTGCTGTGATAGGAAAATTACAAATCCTGTGAAACTTTATTCTTTAGTCAGGGACCATACACTTAGAGGCCTGAACCGTAAGGGAAACTAAATGGGCGAGGCAGCCTGATACCTAGGGGGGAATGAGACCCACGGCAAACTGGACGAGGCTCTCAAATTCAAAATCTTTGAAAACACTGAGCTGGACTAACGAAACACTCATGTAACAGAGTCAGAGAAGCATTTTGAAGAGGAAAGTTGGGTTAGATTTGCTTTTAGAAAGTTTCTTCTGAGAGTGGCATGGGGGATGGAGAGAGTGAGGAGAGGAGTGAGGTAGGGTCCAGTGGGGAGGGCTGCCATGATCTGGGCTAGAGGACTCAAGGTCTGAACGGAGGCTGAGAGTGGGCGTGAGGAGGAGAGAGATGGGCTGGAGCCACTCGACTCAAGAGGGGAGGCAGATATTCCAAAATACATTTTGAAAAGTAAAGCCTCCATAAATTAAAAGAAGGATCATTTGACATGATGCTACCACTGTTCCAGGCACTGCTGGTTAAAAGTGGCGAGCACGGCACTCACGAAACATATCTATCATTGGCTATCATGAAAGAAATTTAATAAAAGTTTAGGAATAAGATAGGAGACAGTTCTTAGGATAAATGACTGCCTCATGGGACAGGATTGTAGGAAATTGTTGTAAAGAAATCAACTTCCGCCCACCCCCTCACCCCCAAAGCTCACACTAATTCTCTGGTCTCTCTGGGGCTCAGATTACGTGTGAGACCCTTTCTGTAAGGTCCTTCCTACATACGGCAACCCGGATGGGTTTCAAATCCAACCCACAATATCCTGAATTCCTGCTAGAGGGGCAGCGTGAGGCTGTTGGACTTTAGACTGTTCCTCTCCAAGGAAATCAGAGTCATCACAGCACAGGTGGAATATGCTTTCATCCATGTGGTGTTTTTATTTATATATGTGTATATATACTTTTTTTTTAACAGGTGGTTACAAACAGGGATACACAAGAAACTCTCCTCTGCATGGCCTGTGTATTTGAAGTTTCAAATAGTGAACATGGAGCACAGCATCATATTTACAGGCTTGTAAAGGACTGAACATGGTTATTTATATATATAGATATCTGTATATACACACACACATATGTGCACACACACACACTCTCCATTTTCGAACGACTGACTGTAAACCTCCCCATGCAGGGGTGGTGCCCTGGCCCTGCGGTCACCCTACTTTTCTAAGTCCTGTTTGAGTGAAGTCATTTTTCCATGTGTTCATACTATCATCGTAGCTGTGAAGTTCTGGTACAGTTGTAAAAAGAGAAATCGAGTTGTTCCTCTGTGTCCCTCAGATCTGCAGCCCACAGTTCCTCGGGAAAGGTGAACCCTAGAACCCGTCTCTGCCCACAGAGGCCTGTTTCTAATTGTGGTAAAAAATATTCAGACAGAGCATTTGCCGTGGGACATTTACAGCCTTTATACAAATGTATTTAGTTCTTTCTTTTTTTTCCAACATAAAATTCTTGTTTTAAGATACAAGTAAAATTAATCTTTAAATATAAATGTAAATTTAGTATACAACACTAAGAATCTTTAGACTTATCTTTGTAACTAATTAGGGTGGAAGTTATGAAAGAATGTAATTCACTAAATTATTTTTTAAATGAAACTTTTATTTCATTTTGAAACCAAATGTTAAAATAATAGCCTTAAGAAATGCTTGGTAGAAATATCCTAATGAGAAAAATTTGTACTTTTTTCACAAGGTTAAAACTAATCTCCTAATCCATTAAACGCTTGAACAGGTATTACAAAGGAAGAAAACTTCACCCCTTATCCTTAACATATATAGTATATTTAAAAATATAAAATTGTATTGTTACTAATGTGATGATTGATTATTTAATGAAAAAGAAAAGATGGCTCTTTTTGCAATAAGTAGATAAATACTGAAAATCTAAACTTACAATGTTTATAGTCTTGTGTGTGCAGTTATATTTTATATGGACAACCAAATTTTTTTATTAAGATGAGTATTTGAACCACTGAAATTTAATAACAAAAAATTTTAATTGGCATGAATACTGCACTGTGAGCTACAAAGTATAGAAAATCCTGTGGCTGGGGAAAAATTGCATCAACCAAACAAGGAAAAGGCTCATCAGTTTTAGCATCTCTGCTCCCTTGAAATTGGCAAGCATCCTCACTAGCCTGTGGATAAATTGTTTATTTCTGGTGATCCAATAGGCCTATTAACCTGCTATAACTATATGTATATGTATGTGTTTGTGAATACATATACATATATAGCTATTCATCACGTATTTATTGAACACCTAGTTAGTGCCACTAAGTTTGCTAGGTACTGATATGTATGTATATTTCAATCTGTCTCTATAGATCTAGATATATTCTCTAAGGACATCCATTTTCTTCTCTCTCAATAAGTCACAGTTCTTGTTTGACCGAGGTTTAAGAGGCCCACCTTATTTATCTCTGACCTTTCAAGCAGGCTCATGTAGGAGGTTCTCTTTTCAGGAGAGATTCAACTGATCAACCCAGATATTCCAAAGCGTGGCCCAGGCAGACTTGGTGTGATGTAGCCACATGCATCTCTTTCCACCAGGCTTCGTTGGTAAACACCCACAAGAACACACCCCCAACTTCCCAGAAGAAAGTGACATTTCTGTAAATGTTGGGAACATGCTAACACAACAGAATGTGAAATAAGTTTTCTAAGATGTGAAACATATCAAGACTTTTTCATCAAGCCAGAAAATAACAGCTTTGTTCTGCCCCATCAAGTAACTTATATACCCCCTCCCTGTCTCCCTGTCCGCTCTGACCCTGCTTGCACACTGGTTAGGATCTGGTGGTCTTGAGCATGAGGGTGTGCCGGGCTGGTGACCGGCAGAACACTGGGCCACACCTGGCCTCTTCCAAACTCATCACTGGTTCACTGGAAGACCAGAGGAGAAAGTGAAAAACCTTCCCCATTTGGAGTGCACACCCCTTAAGGAAACCAGTAGGAGGGTGCCCATCTTCTCTCCCCTGCTTCCCAGTGGGCCCTTGAAGGATTGCCCCCGTTGTCTGCTCTTCCTTCGGGTCGTCAGCCCAAGCATTGAAACTTCTTCTGTTGGTCATCCATCCGAGGGATGTTGCTTTTGCTCCTGCCTCTTGTATTTTCCCTCAAGGGAACCAACCCCCACTCTTATAAGAGCAGGACCCCAGAACTAAAGGCGTGCACATGTTGCACGTGGCTTAAAGCCAGGTCATCCCAGAGCTCCAGGGAGAGAGGTAGCAAAATGGACCCCAGGAGACCCGCTAGAGGGTAGTTCTGTTGGTTGCAGAGAAGGGCATCCCTGGTCACCGACTCCGGATCAGGCCAGGCCTCTGCTGCTTCACTGCCAGGGTCCTCCTCCGAACCCTTTTGTAGTTGAATTTGGGGGGCTTACATAAACAATCCTGAGGCTTACTTTTTGCTCTTAAATCTTTCTGCTTATATCTTTTGCTCTGAGATGCTTTAAAGTTATTTCTTGTCTTATTCTTCTCAAGTTTTCTCCAGGGCAGATCTTTCCCTATCGTATCCACAGGACTGGTCACCCAGACCCTCGGCCCTCTCTCCATCTCTCCCAGATTAGACCCTGGGGTGGCATTTGTGTAAGATCTAATCTGAGTCTGTCTTTGGTCTTTTGCCCTTCATGGCCGTCCTCTCCCTCTGTTGGAAAGCTCGCTGCACCGCAAAGCAGTCTTTCCAGAGCATGGCCCTCACTGCTCTCTCCCCTGGTGACTCTCTGCTGCCAGGTGTGATTCAGAGACATTGCGTGCTTTCTCTTTGGACAATTGGAGGCCAAATTGTCACTCCTAAGCAGGGGGTAGCTGAGGAACCAGCTGCTGGTCTGTTGCCATTCTTTTCCGCCTACGAAAAATCATGACTTCTTCAAAAACATGTCCCAGGATTCCAGAATGTCCAAACTGCCCGAGACCAGTGTCAACCTCAACATTGTTGACGTTTCATACCAGGTAATCCTTTATCCTTTATTGTGCAGGGGTGTCCTGTGCGTAGAGGAGGTGTTGCAGCACCCCTGGCCTCTGCTCACTAGGTACCAGTAGCACCTCTTCCCTCAGTTGTCACAACCCAGAATGTCTTCAGCCATCACCAATGCCCCATGGGCACAGAGTCACCCCTAATTGAGAATCACTGCCCTAAACTTCACAGGTCCCACATACCATATTTTACCCTGCGATAATATCTCTCCTTGTGTCAGATGTCAGGAGGCAGGTAGAAATATTATACAAGTGACATTGTGTCCATGCTTCTTCCCGTTTCAGAACTTCTATTTCACACGTCTCTTTTACCACAAGCATTTATGCTTCTACTATTGGTCACCCATCTTAGGGATGTTGCTTCTGTCTCTTGCATTCTTTCCCTCCTGCCGGGGGAAGCTGGGAACAGCTGGTCACGATCATCCCAGCAATCAAAGAGCATTTCTAATTTGATCTTCAATCCTTAGTTTACCGGATTTAAAAGACACACAGCTATTTTCATTATTTCTCATAAGCTTGTGGGTCTCATTATCAAACCTTCCATCGTTTGGGTAGATTTCCTCTGGTCTTCTGCTTTTCTGCCTGTTTGTATCTGCAGAAGCTTTGGGAACGTGTCTTTTCACCTTCAGGGATGGAGGAGAGGGGATCCATTCCGGGAGGGGGCTGATAGAAGTTCTTGTTTATTGAGCTAAAGGAGAGCACAGTCTACTCTCCTTCACTGTGTGGATGAGGAAGTTGAGGCTCAGCGTTGCCAGTGACAGGTTAAGAGTGAGGCTCTCACACTCCTGCCACTTACTCCTCGGCCTCTTCTGGTGGAAGTTGTTCCTCTTTGGTGCTCATGCTTAAATGACCCCCACAGACGTGTGGACGGGGTCCCTTCAGAAGAGAGGGAGAGGAAGAAACCCGCTGCCAGAGCCACAGCATTGTCCCCAGGCGGCAGCTGCTTCCCATGTGGGCAGGTCAGACAAGACCCTGATGGGGTAGTCGGAGGTCACCACAAGCAGATAGGCAAGCTGATGAGCCTTTTTGCTTCCTCTGAGTTCAGTTCCCCTGCCACAGGCTCAAAGTTCCCATTGCTAAGCATCCCGGCAGCCAAGTCCCGCACTCAGGCCAGCTAAAGCGCAGGCCCCGTTCCAAGCACTTGGTAGGCAAGTCCCCAGGCGACTTGAAAACCCAAGTCTTTAGGTTTCAATACTGTAGTGGCTTCAGCAGTTTGTTTTTGTATAACCATAAATCACTTCAGTCACGAGACGACAGTCAGTTTTACAAACCAGGTACATATCATTGGTATGATTTTGTATATGCTCTGGTACACTGCCCCTGTCCTAACGAAGGGAGAACCAGTCTCGTTGGTCCGTGTTCTCACCGGTGACCTTGAGAGGACATGTCTGCACCGCTCACGTCTTTATGTTGCTGTGTCTGCGGCAAAGCCCTCTCGTTTCTGAAAAGCCTTAAATCTTTGAGATGTCGCGTGAAGGGTGTGCAGTGCAAAAGGCTGCCTCGGAACTGTGAGCCCTTTTGTAAGCTGGAAGCATTTCTCTTACTACTGTTACTCTTTTTAGGAAGTTTTAAATTCAGAGCTGCCAAAGCGTTCCAGTAAGCAGTGCCTTAGTGATACATTAGTCGCGCCACCAGCCTTGTCTTACACCTGTTCTCAGTGCCCATTGACTAATTGGCCCCATGTTTAAAACAGAACAAGCAAAAATTGTTTCCCTTTTGTTTATTAAGCCCATTTTTCTCCAGTTCTACAAGAAACTGACTACTTGGTCTACAATCGGAAACTGAACGTAAGTCAGTCCTCTGACCAGACTCTCAAATGTAGATACCAAAACGAAAGGTTTTTGCAACTTCATAGTTGACTATGAAAAGCAAATTGTACTTTTTAATGTTGCCTTTTAAATTCACGACCAAATACTTAGCTATTTGTGAGTCTTCTGCACTCCAGCATGAAAGTGCCTTTGGTTTGAGATTCCAGCTTAGAAAAGTGCTGCCATAATAACGATCACTTGTAGAGAGACCAAAAATATATTGAGATCACCGTAATGCCTTTGGTTTACCGGGATGAGTAACCAGCCACAGGCCTCTGTCCGCAAGAGCACGACGTGGACCCCGCCTGCTGGGAGTCTGCCTGCCGTGGGAGAGCCCCTGCCACCGCCCACCAGGAGCACGCTGCTGCAGGAGCGACCCAGAAACTGCTGTGTTTGTGTGTGCCAATGACCCTGGTGTCATCTCCACTCGCCACCCAGCCCTGCACCCCCGTGAGGGAGCATCCACACCAACAGCAGACTCTCGGCCAGCGGATAGATTCCGTGTTCCGTCTCTTCGGAGGCTTTCTTGTCCATTCAGACGACCGTGCGCACTTGTGTGTTTTACACAACGATACCATTTTGCAAGTTGGAAGCCTCAAACTGAGATGACAGTGCAGAACAAAAGTGAGTTAGGGTCATGACAAGTGAAGTGTTCTTAGGGCAAAAATATTGACTCCAAGTGTCTTGTCTGAGAAACTTCCAAAGAGCACCATTCACAATTCGGCGTTTTCAAAGAAGGTTCCAGCCCTCAAAGGGGCCATATTGGCTTTTATCAAAACCTTGTGTACATTGGGAAAGCTGATAGAGGTGAGGAAGAGGAGGGAGAAGGACAAGAAGGCAAACACACTAGCCAAACAGGGAAAAAAGATGTTTCTTTATCAGTCTAGACTTAAAAATGACATCAGACGTCTTTGAAAGTTAGCCTCTGAACTCTCAATGCATGTGTTCTGTCTGTCTCTGCCTGGTGTCTTTAAGAATATACCCTCTCTGGGCTCCGAAATTTCAGGAGTGCTTTCTTTCCACCAAGTTGTGAGTATTTCTAGAAATTTCTACAAGGAGAAAATCAAATGAAAAGGAAAATTACTCACCACAAATTCTAGCTAGCTGCTTGAATTCAGGCCTCCCTGTCATTGTACTTACACCAACAGCCTGGAAGAAGTTAGTCAAATCCCCGTTCCCTCTTCTCAAGTGTCACTGCGCTTTGTTTGGCAATAGTTTTCTCTCAGAAACTCATTGCTTAGACTGTTCAGAATGAAGGTTTTGTGCTTAAAATGTATTGCATCGCAAGGGATAGTGTCACCGAAGTCATGCACCATTAAATAAGATGAAATATTTGTATTTATTGTCCAACTTCTTAAGCCGTAACTTGCTTAATTCTCTGTGAATCTGCATTTGCGTTGAGTCAATCACGTGCCACACTACATGTTAGTATTTGAAACGGCATTCATGATCCCCCCTCATTCATCCTTCAATGGGGTCCGATTCCAGTGGGTCCCACCGGTCCGGTTGGCCCTCTTTCCTCTGGCTCCCGCCACGAGATCATTTCCCCTTCCCCTTTCTCTAAGAGAAGGTGAAAGAATCGAGGCATAAATCAATTGGAAACCAGTCTCTGATTTCCTTTCCTTTTTTTTGCATCAGCCATTTTTGTGTGATTAGTTTCACTGTGTAAATTAGGTACTAACTGCACTTCTTTAAAAACAATCTCCCTGTTACCTCCTTGAAAGATTCACTTCTGTAGGCCTTTCTTCAATAGGCTCATGACTGCAGATAAAGAAAAGCTAAAAACAAAAACAGTACGTGCCTGAAAAACAACAACAAAAACATTTTTGTAACATTGAAAAAAAGAAACCTGAATAGCCTTTAATTCTTTAATATGCTTACATGTTATGTAAATCGGTTTTTGCCACGTGTGTTTGTTCACATTCTAAATGACTTAATGGGATTCTCACAGTCTGTGTCTTCATGTCACGTGTATAAAATGGGCTTGTGACGTAAGCGTTTCATCTGGTCAGTGGTCCCTTTGATATTGTACTGCTGCTGGGAGTGGGCTGTGGAACCTGCCTTCGGTGCTAAGGTTCCTCTTGGGGAGATCGAAGAGATTGGGGGGTGGGGGTGGACAAATTCTCACACACATTTTCTTAACCTATTTGCAGAAACTCTGAAAAGGCGTTTGGTTAAACCTCTTGGCAGTACAGTATTCTCGTATTTGTTAATGTCTGTGTTTAGGTACTGGTACCTTTTTGTTTAAAAATGTTCTAAGTGTTGGCTTTAAAGTGAATTTATCTTTAGTATGATAGTTATATGAAAATTATAGGGTTTGTGTGCAGAGAATTTTTTTATAAAGTGCTTTGTAAAAAAAACAAAAATGTATTCTAGCTTTCGCGGTACATATGTGTGATAACTTTAATATCCATGACAGTTAAGTGCAATTATTTCATCACTCTAAAAATGCTATTTTTGTGTCAGTTCCTGCAGGTGTTTTCATGTCTTTGCAAAGTGACACATTTTGATGCCTTCTTGATAAAGTGGTAGACATTTTGTAGCTTTCTAGAAACTTTGTATTCATACAGTATCAATGAAAAATAAAGAAAATGAAAGTGTGGGTCACCTTTTTTATCTGCAAAAGTGTATGTTGTTGAAAATGAACTATGCTTTCTGTGTTGTGGGTGCTCATAGGAAGGACGGAGAGGAGAAGGTTGAGACCACACGTCCTTGACAGTGCCCACCAGGCTCAGTATTGGGATGTCAGGTGTTACGTCTAGCCAGGTTTCTTTTTTTAAAAAAAAAAATATGTTTTTATTGATTTGAGAGAGAGAGAGGAAGGGAGAAGATAGAGAGAAACATCCATTGACTACCTCCTGCACACCCCCTACTGGGGGTCAGAGCCCGCAACCCGGGCATGTGCCCTGACCAGGAAATGAACCATGACCTCTTGCTTCCTAGGTTGACACTCAACCCCTGAGCCATACTGGCTGGACTAACCATGTTACTTTTTTTTTTTTCCAACAGAGGTCAGCTTTTATTGAATGTGTTACAAAAGAGGTTTAGTCAAAAAAACCAAAGTCTATGTCATCATCAGACTCCTCAGATTCTTCTTTCTTTGCTTCCACTTCTTTCTCAGCTGGGGCAGCAGCGGTGGAGGGGCAGGACCTCCTGCTGGGGCAGCAGTAGCTGCAGGGGCAGGTCCACCAGCCCCTACATTGCAGATGAGACTCCCAATGTTGACATTGGCCAGAGCCTTTGCAAATGTTGGCCGCAAAGGTTCAACATTTACACCAGCTGCTTTAATGAAGGCATTGATCTTATCCTCTGTCACCGTCACTCCATCGTCATGTAGGACAAGGGCCGAGTAGATGCAGGTGAGCTACGAGCACCTTACCAGCAGCTGGGGAAAGGGGCTGGCCATGTTCCTTTAAAACATCTACAAGTCAGTCCATCTGTCTGCCTGTCTCTTGCTTCAATAAAATTGACATAAGTTTTGCAAAAGAGCTCATCTGTGGATCCCAGGCAACCCTGAGAAACCCTGTCCCATGTTCCATGGTACCAGAGCAGGGCCTTGAAGAACCGAAAGGCACACCAGCTCAGCCATTGAGCATTTGTTATTTGTTGTTGTGAACCCAACTTGCTGGGCGTATGCCAGGAGCCAGGGGCAGAGCAGACAGTGGGGCACAGAGGTAAATACAGCATGGCTCTTGCCTGCCTGGTGCTTAATTCTCAGTAGTTGGGCTACATGTTGCGCTCTAACCCTGGGTCCTGTCCTCAGCGTCACCATGGGATTTGTGATTCAGGCGTGTAACACACATGTATAAGGACACCCTGGCTTTACTGAGTTTTGACTATATGCTGAGCAGTGGGCCAAATGTATTGGTCTGAAGTGTGTATGTTGTTTCTTTCGATTTTCAGAATAGTCCCAATGACAGTGACATTACTACTCCCAAACTGAGGCTCTGAAAGGATAGGTCATCCGAAGTCATGACTAGAGAGGGGTGGAGCTTCAGTAGGCCACCCTGACTCTTCAGCCTGGACTCCTGGCCCCTGCATTTGGGCTCACGAGATTCTGTGGAAGCAGGCTGGGGTGAAATCTGGATGGAGGAAGGGGACGACTTTCTTAAACAAAGATGACCTTGGGCTGTTGACAGTGGGACCAAATAAATGCATCCTGGGATCCTAAAGGATCCTCAGGGGAGTCTTGCTTCTCCCCATTTCTTTGAAATCTCAAGGGAAAGCCTGCCTCAAGTCCTGAGAGGCACTGATGGGAGTGGGAACAGAGAAGAAATAACATTCCAGCTCCTTTGAAGAGACACTTTCAGCAAGCCACTGAGAGGCATGCGGCTGTCCAGTGTGCTGCCTGGGGCAGAGGGAGGGGGCTGTGGAGCCTTCGGCCGAGGCCTTATTACAGGGAAGACACCTTCATACGCACTAGTCACTATTTCCTTTAACCCACATGCTGCTGAGTAAAGAAACAATTTCCTATAAGGAAACTGAGGCCCAGAGAGGGGTCATAAAAGCTGGTAAGTGGCCAGAATTTAGAGCTGGTAGACTTCCTGCCTTGCCATCCTGGCTCCGGCACTGGCTGCGTGGCACCTTCCCCTCCAGCTCTTCCGCTAAAGCACAGTGCTTCCATCCTTCGAAGGCATCCTTTCTTAGAACCCGTGGTTCCAGCCATCTGAGTTCAGCAAAGAGAGAGACAGCCTCGGCAAACTAACATCATTGAGTAGAGACACTGAAGGAGGGAAGGGAAGGGTGCGTAAAGCCTTCTAGTGAAACTAGAACAGGCACCTTGGCGGGGAACCCTGGCCATTTCCTCCTGCCTCACTGCCACAGGGGACTAAAAAGCACAACTACTAACTTACTAAACGCCAAACTCGCTGTTGGGTAGTCAGTGAGCAACTGATACCATCCCAGTAAAGCACAGTGTTCTATAGGCCTGTGAAGCCACAGACTTTCTCAAGCTGCCTTGGAAAACACTTCCCTGTTTAATGCCCACGCGTCATGTTAGTCTAAGTCAGTGGTCGGCAAACCGCGGCTCGCGAGCCACATGCGGCTCTTTGGCCCCTTGAGTGTGGCTCTTCCACAAAATACCACGTGCGGGCGCACACGTACAGTGCGAAGTTGACTTAAAACTTTAAAGTTTACTAAGTTAATTTTAGGGAACATTGTGGAGTGAAAGAAGATGTAGTGTCGAGGATTGAGAAAGGTATGTTGAGATGGTTTGGACATATAGAGAGGATGAACGAAAGGAGATAGACGAAACAAGTATACAAGACGAGTGTGGATGGGAGAGTTGGAAGGGGTCGACCTCAGCGAACGTACCTCAATCAGATTGAGGACGTTTTAGCAAAGGCCAGCTTAGGAGTACCCTAATTAAGTTAATAACAATGTACCTACCTATATAGTTTAAGTTTAAAAAATTTGGCTCTCAAAAGAAATTTCAATCATACTGTTGATATTTGGCTCTGTTGACTAATGAATTTGCCGACCACTGGTCTAGGTGGTAACCAGCAAATAGGCTGCATTTTCTTCAAGCAACAGTCTCCCACTTGCTTTGGCCCCCAAGAAGCTCAGACTTAAAAGTTGTGCTCTGTACTTACGATAAGGATCAAACTAAAATATAAAGGCACAGGATGATCAAAAACAAAGGATAAAAACTAGACGTGCAAAACACCAAAAGCAAGCCCATGTAGCTATATTATTCTTACACTAGTGTAGCTCAAGGAAGAAATCATTACTGGAGTTCATGAGGATTCCTTCAAAATATGACAAGACCCCATAGATGATTTCAACAATGTGCTGTTCTAATTTACAAAATACAAAGTAATGAATCCAACAATTGGAGACTCTACATTGTTTTCAAGCACACATGGAATTTTTATATAATATTGACTGTCTGAGGCCCAGGGTCTGGAACTGTGGCCTGTGGGCTAAATCTGGCCTGATGCTTGTTTTTGTAAATAAATTTTTATTGAAATAGCCACTACTGTTTGCCTACTTATTGCCGTGGCTGTTTTCATGCTACAATAGCAGAGTTAATTAGTTGTAATAGACTCTATAGCCTACAAAACCTAAAATAATTACTACTTGGTCCTTTTTTTTTTTTTTTTTAATTACTAACTCCCATCCTAAGCCAAAAGGCAAGGTCTTGCTTACAATAATCTTACGATATCTGGCTTTCCCTTTCCCAGTGTGTAGATGTATAGAAACTCTGGCAAGTGGCTGTAGGTCCTTTAGATGGCCTGTGGCAGAGTATCCTTCCCCAGGTGTCCCAGCCTCCCCTTTGATCAATGGGCTCTGGGTCTAAGAAAAGACTTAGATCTGGGAAGGGTGAGTGATGGGCGGTGATTTTTTATTGCAGCAGCTGGTGTCTGCTCATCATATTTTATGATGAAAACAGCCAAGGGACATTTTTGATGGGTACCCATCTATCTTGCTCCTGTCTCACCATAGTCTACTAGTTATCTCACAGATCCCTTGGTCGCCATTTCTTGCTACCCATCATGGTAATTGTTATTGTGCCTTTGACAGCTAACTGCTGCCACCTTGGCTCTGCTCTTTCAGAATCCATCATTTCCATTCACACAAGAGAACCCAATTCCATGTCACTATGCCCTGCCATTAACCTTGGCTTGCGAGCCACCACTGAGTGTCTTAGCTGGTGCCCCATTCACTATTGTTTGAGTGAAGGAAGTGTCTTCTTGTTCTTCTAGGGCACATAGTCAGGAGGTGGGTCATCCCCGTAGCATTGCCTCTGAGCCTTCTGAGTCCTGCCTCAGTTTCCTGCCGAGACAATGCCAGACCTCCACTTTATTTATTCTAGACCATCATTCCCTCCAAGCTTGCAGAAGCCATTTAGCAGCACATGGTCTGGCTGACACAGGACCAACCCCAGTTGTCTTTGCCTGGATATTAAATCCTGAGTTGTGAAGGTGTGTGTTTCGTGCCATTGAGTCAGCTCCGACTCCTGGTGACCCTGTGAATGAGCGATGTCCACATTGTCCTGTCCTCAACAGCCTTGCTCAGCTCCTGTGGGCTCATGCCTACAGCTTCTTTTATGGAGTCAATCCCTCTCATATTTGGTCTTCCTCTTTTTCTGCTGCTTTCTATTTTTCCCAGCATTATTATCTCTTCCGAAGAACCCTGCCTTCTCATGAAATGCCAGAAGTAGGACAGTTTCCCCGCCCCCGCCTTCCAGAAAAGAAATCTGCATGGCCAGTAAACGTATGAAAAGATACTTAACTCCATTAGTCATCAGGGGAATGAAAGTTCAAAACCACAATGAGAGTTGCCCAACAGATGTAAAAATTTAAAATCTGATACTGCCAATGTGGGTAAAGATGTGGAGCATGGAGCTTTCATACTTGCTGGTGGAAGTAAATTGGCACAATCCCTTTAGAAAACAATCCAGAGTTACCTAAAAGGTGAACATATTTATAACCTATAACAACAAAATTTATACACAGGTTTGTTTCTTGCACAGGTGCTCCGGGGACTTGTCCAGGAATGCTATGCCTCATTGGCCTGAACCAGCAACAAAAGAATTAAAATATAAATGGACTCATTTACATAATCAACCATGATATGAGCAAAAGAACACTTGAAATATGTACCAATGAG